ACTAGCCAAATTTCCTCTTCTGTTTCTTTTTCTCTTCCAATTCATTCTCCATACAACAACCCTGGCTATAAATCTAAATAGATATTTCCTTCATGAAATTCTCAAACATCTTAGAATAAAGGTACTAATTTTTAACATGTCTTACAAAGTCTTGAATGTGACTTCTGTCTTCTTTCCATCTCTCTTAACTTTTCTTCTTGGCCTCTATTCAGACACACTATAGAAATCAATCATTTGCTATTTTTCAAATCCTTAAATATATCCGTATACTTTGTTGCCTCAAGATGCTCTCACATGCAGTAACCCTGCCTGCAATACACTTCTCTCTTCACCTGGACAATCCCACTCATGCTATAGGTACCAAACTATCTGTCGTATGACTACAGCTCCACACCAAAGTAAGGACACCATAATCTTCTGGGTTTTATATGTTTTGTTCAAAATATTTAGTGCACTGATAGTTACATGTCCAGGGAATGTAGGAAACTTCATATAAACAGCCAACTTCATATTTCCCTAGTCTGTAATTTTTACATTTCTGGAACATAGTAAGCTTAAATACCTATTTGATATGAATGAACAAAAAATTCCTAATAAATTTATGGATACTTGAATGAAACTTTTGCCTTTGCTTGTCTATTGGCTTTGAATCCTTACCTTTTAGAGGACATAAGAGAGGAACATACAGGTTAAGCAAAAGATAAAGAACACAAATACCTTTTTGACACTTTTACTTCTTTTAATACATATACTGTTGGTAGATGTGTGGAATGATGAGCTGTTATGAACACTTTGCAACTAAGGGACTTTGTTTCTAAGACATTCCTTTCTAGCAAACCCTTTCTGTTCAGTTAAGTATGGAGACATCCACATCTGAATATGGCAGGCTAATTCATATTAGACTAACTTATGTAACAAAATAAATAAGCTGGATGAATATGTTTAAATGCTTGAGTCATAGATTTCTAGTTCCATTGTAGACTCATTACTCTCAGAACCTCCTTCCTATTACTAAAAAGAAACCTCATTATTCTCTTCTAATACACTCCATTCATTTTTTGCTGTCACACAACATACAAGACTTTAAAAGGTGTAAAGAAGACAGGCTGCTTAGGGGCTTCAGGACTTGACAGTCAGCATAACAGTGAGTTTAATGGGTTTCCTTATTGTTCCATATACCCTGAAGATGTGAGCTAGCTTCCAATCCATGGCCACCAACAGACACAGACTAAATATCTCTAAGAAACATTGTACTTCTTTCAAAATAACTGGGGAAAAGGTGTCCTTAACAAGACAGAAAACATTTGAAAATACTTGCTATACTTCAAACAAACACTACTGAAAGAACAGCACCCTCCCATCCCCCGTGGTTTCAGGGGGCCAGTCCAGGGGTTGATTCACATGTAGCCTTGCTCCTATTCCCCTGCCTGCTAGTGTCAGTAGTTCCACCGGGGAAATTAGCCTCCACTGTCACCTGGCAAGAATAAAACTTAATGAGATGCTCTGAGGAGGGACCAGTTAATACTCAGCCTCCTCTCTTGTGCATGTGGGCCCATTAGGGAGCTGAGTCTCCATCTTCTTCAATAACAGAGCAGCTTTTCCACTACCTTCCCCATTCTTAATGCTTCTTGTATGTAATTTCCCATATATCCTTCTCTTTCATTCCATTTCTTTGTTTTCCTTTTCATTCTTTAGATGCTATGTTTGAACCCAGGGTGTTGTGTACAGTAGGAAAGCCCTCTACCACTGCATTACATCCCTAACCCCTTGTGTGCCATTTCTAATGCTACTTCTTATACCTGGCATACCTTTCTATTGCCCTTACTCTGTTTTATCTAGTCATGTTATAAGACTAAGTCTTCTTGTTTTATCCTCCAGAAAGTGTTAGTCTACAATTCCAGTTAGGAAAGAGTACATCTCCTTTGGGACTATTGTTTCTCATTATACTTATCATGCTGTAGGTATACATGTCAATTTATTTATAGACAAGTATCCACATAAGTTTTATACAATGTAGCAAGTGATTGGTGGTCAGACAAAAGTCTGTATGTTTTTGTATCAGTATAATTCCTGTCATTTAATAAATGCTCAGTAAACCATAGTTTTGAACTGAACTGTCTCCAAAACACTAGGAAAACATTCCCTTGGGTTTTACATCCCTCTAAAGTGGAAGATGCTTAACTGGAGAAGAGAATCTCCTTGACAATGTCACAGGAATTTTCTATATGACTGTAGATCTTTTATCCATAAATGGGGACATGGAATATAGCTGTCAATATTCAGAGGGGAGGTTCGGGTGTCTATATTCTGCTTGTCAGGACAGCTACATGGTTTTAAGTACCATGATTTTGAGCTATCTCCTTAGCCCCTGTGCTAGTATGTGTTAAATCCTTTCCATATATTATTTAATTTGTTTTCATTTTTAATATTTTATTATTTTAAACAAAATATTAAAATAAGAGAAATCCAAAACACAATATTCCATTCAATTATTCCATGGGTTTTAATTTATTCTTGTTACCTTTCAGATATTGTTTTTCATTTTTCACCAAAAATGCAATAAAATTATAGATTTCTGCATTTCACTTAACAGTATATTAGTATTTTCCTTTTGTAAAAATTTGTTTTTTATATTTCCCATACTTCACTTTTCTTATTCCATTACACCAAGGTAAAGGAAAAATAAGTATTTCTTTCACATGGCAGAAACAGTTTTCTCAGTGTTTGCTTTGAGTTGAGAGTCCCTGGGCTGCAGAAAATCTCTCTTTACCTTTTCCAGAGTAGTGACAATGATGAGGAAAGTAGATCGTTCCACCCCAAATTCCTCTACCATGGTCTGTGACAACACTTCCAGAGTTTTTTTCTGCACATATTCTAACCTTTTTTATAGCTTCAGACCTATGGAACTAAAAGATACCATTTAAAATTCCTGCAAATAAAAAAAATTACATTATGGCCAATGGGATCATTTGTTTTTAACAAGTATTTAAGTATGGATGGATTTCCAAAGAAATAATATGATCCTTGTGTCAAGACTTGATTACCTGAAGATGGGAATAAATCTGCTTTTCCATCCTTACCCTAGTTCCTAAGTCTCCATTAGTTAGATCAATGGTGGCAAACCTATAGCACATGTGCCACAGCAGGCTGTTTTCATCACTCAAAGTTCTAAAAGGTTCACCATCCCTGACCTACACCATTTAGGGGATAGAGTTTGTTTAAAAGATCAATGCAAAGTCCTAGCTTGGGCTTAATCACCTAACCCAAATCCTCTAGCTCAGCAACAGTGTTGAAGTCATTAGTCAGTATGATATGTTACAGACTAAGTGCTGGGGTCCAGAAACAGAGGACTTGAGCTGCATTGACCTGGACAAGCTATTGGAAGTCTTTAAGAGTCCATTTTCTTGTTCATAAATTGGGTGGGGAATTTGTAATTACCTGCATTATAGAATTATTGTGAAAATTCAGTGGAAAAACAAGGTATTTTTTGGAATGAAACTTTATGGATTCAAATACTGGTTCCACATCTTCTTAGCTGCATCACTTTGAGAAAGGTACTTTTTGTCTCTTTGCCTCAGACTATTCATTTGTAAATTACAAGTAATAAGACTACTTCATTGAGTAAGGAATGGATGAATTAATGAATATGACATGTTTACAATAAAACCTTGCACAGAGTAAATGCAAATTATTGTTTGTTAAATAAATTAACAAAGGAAAAGTACTTGGCATCTGAAGGAGTTCATTAATAGTGATTATTATTATCATTCTTACTGATTTCAACGTATCTTCTGATTGACACACAACATATAAAGAGAACAAAGAAATATGATTTTAGTTTAAACAGTGTGTTAAACAGCATATGGTAGATGACTTAGGTAAATGAAAATTTTTACAAGCTGTTTTAAATTCAGAAAATAGATCCTAAGAATATATTCTGACAGTTACCTTTCTCAGAGCCTCTTTTAGATCTCTATTCACCAGTCTGTGGATGAGGGGCTTCAACATGGGGATCACCACTGTGTAGACCAAAGACATCACTCTCTTCTGGTTATCTAAATTGCTAGTCTTGGGCAGCATATAAATAAAAGTAATAATTTCATAGTTGAGGGTAATGACAATGAGGTGAGCAATGCAGGTGGAAGAGACCTTTTGGCATCCTTCAGAGGATCACATCAGGATTGTGGTGAGGACATAGATGTAAGACAGAACAATAACAAACACTGTGGCCACAGTGGTGGAGCCAGAAGACATGGAAGAGATAGTTTCAATAATGGGGATATCTGAACAGGATAGTTTCCAAAAAGGAGAGAAGTCACGGAAAAAGTGTCTATTTGATTTGATCCACACAAAGACAGACTCAATAAACAACGAGTAAATGTCCAAACATTCACACAACCACCCAGATGGGAATCTCCCACTTCAAGGGTACAGACTCCAGGGGACATGCGGATGGACTAGAGCAGGAGTGAGCAGATGACCATATAATGACAGTAGGCCATCGTGGCCAATAGGAAGCACTTGGCCATTCCATCTGTCACCAGAGAACAGAGTTGAGCTTCACAAAAGCAATGAATCTTCAAAATACAGACAATATAAAAACTGATATAAAGAAAAAATTACAATGGTAAGCTTTTCACAAACCTCAACAGAGAAAGCAATACAAAAACTCAGTAAAGATGTAGATTTGAAAGTGACAATTTAATCCCATGGAATGTATGTAATATATAGCTATGCTATTTCCAAATACAATGACAATGTTGTATAAAAGAGGCCAAATCTTCCAAAAATAATGACCTACTCTGAAGCAATTTTAGTGAAAATGATATATTTTGTGACTCTAGAAAGTTATAAATTAAGTTGGCATTAATGAATATGCTAGCACTGTATATATACGACAGTTCTTCCCATAAAATAAAGCTAAGGACAACATAAATGTGCATCATATATGTTCCCAAAACTATTGTTTTACAATTTCCAGATTCACATTTGGATTTCTTTCAAAATGAAGAATGTGTTCTTGCCATCAATTTCTTCATGGCCTCTTTTACTTCCTTGTTTCTCAGGCTGTAGATCAGGGGGTTCAGCATGGGGATTACCACTGTGTAGAACACAGACACTACTTTAATATGATCAGGTGAGTAGCTGGACTTTGGCATAACATAAACAAATGTGACTGTCCCATAAAACAAAGTCACAGCAGTGATGTGGGACGTGCAAGTAGAGAAGGCCTTGTGCCATCCCTCCCTAGAGTGCATCTTCATGATTGCATGGAGGATGTAGAGGTATGAAACAATGATAATGAACAGTGTGATTACAATGATTGACCCAGCAGAGATGGCAGGACATATTTCAGCAATGTAAATATGGGTACAAGAAAGCTTTACTAGGGGTGGGAGGTCACAGAAGAAATGGTTGATTTCATTTGGTCCACAGAAAGTCAGGCTCAATAAACATCCAGTACATGATGAAGCATTCATTCCCCCTCCCAAATAGGAAATAACTAATAAGATTATGCAGACCCTGGAGGACATGAGAGTAGAGTAGAGTAGGGGAGAGCAGATAGCTACATAGCGATCATAGGCCATGGCAGCCAACAGGAAGCACTCAGCTGTTCCAAAGACAACATCAGAGCCAAGCTGGGCTATGCAGCCAGCAACAGAGATAGTAGTTCTCTCTCTCAGGAAACTCACAGTCATGGTAGGTGTGACTGATGTGGAATACCCCATATCCACAAAGGCCAGATGGCTGAGAAAAACATACATTGGGGTATGAAGCTGAGGGGTTCTTCTGATTAACATGATTATGCTGAGATTGCCCAACATAGTAAAAACATAGATTCCTAGAAAAACTACAAAGAATATGGAACAAAGTATAGGATCCTCTGTTAACCCCAAAATAATAAACTCTGTTACCATTGTGTGATTTCCAGTCTCCATCTTGGGAACGGCACCAAGTGAAATAAAAACTAGTGGATATTACAATAAATTAAATGATTCCATAATTGATATCTTTACTTCAAAATTTGGCTTTTAAAAAAATCAACAGGTAGATTTCACATTTCTCAAATGCATACACTTCACAAAATGTTTATGAACATGTTCCATTATACAAGATTTGGAAATGCTAATCTCTACCTTGCCACAGATACAAAGGGTCCAATGACTCAGATCCGAACATTGCGCTCACAGTCACCACATTTGATCAGTTCGAGTTGTTGAATAATGATGTTTTGAGAACATAAATAGTTAAAGTGCTAGTGTCGGTAGTATCCAATTTACCTCTATTTCTTCATGGCATTGAAGAGCACACTACAAGTCCTCTTGAAGTTCAGTGAGTCTGTGAACAGTAAATGTCAGTGGGTTGTGAGAGGAAATGTGTGTGCTTTCAGATCAAATTAAATCACCAGTAGGCAACTGTTTTTCCTTTTCTGCAGTGATATATTTTGTGACACAACTATAATTTATGTTACCTCCTATGAGTCTGGGTTTTGAGTGAATGTGGAGAACACATAGTATATTAAGAATATACTGAAGTGAGAAATACTTTGTATTAGATCACACAGAGTTTCCAAGGTTAATTTATTAAAATAACATGTCACCTAACCCGGTTAATATAATTACAGCTGAACTGTAAATGGAAGCTACATATAGAGTTTAAGACTGAAAGAAACATGAGAAATAAGTGCACTTTGGGTCATTAGTTGAATCAACAAAAGTGAAATTTCATAATCATGCATGAATATAGTATGCAATGAAATATGCTTTCTAAATGCCTAATGTTTATCATACTCATTGTGAGAACAAGCAGAGTAATACATAAAATAAAAAGAATATCAAGAAGTCACTTAATTTAACAAAAAATTATTAAGTAAGTTTAGTCAAGAGAATGTGAAAAAATAAAACAAAGGCAGACTTTCATTTAAGCAATATTGTTAGCCTGAAATATCCTGGAGCATTTTAAATAAAAATACTTGGATAAACTGCCAACTCAGGTATTAAAAATATGAAAAACATTCAACATTTTTAATCATAAGGGAATTGCAAGTTAAAACTACAATAAAAGACCATCTCATACTTGTTAGCATAGTTATAAAAAAAATGATAACTAACATTGCCAAGAACTTGGAGAAAACAGAACCCTGGTGTTCTTGGAGGGGATGTAAATTAGTACCCCTATTTTGGAAAACAGTGTGGAGGTTCTTCAAAAAACCAAAAGTGGAATTACCATATGATCTTGCATTTCTGGGTGTACATCCACAGGAATTGAAGTTGGTATGCCAAAGTGATGTTTATGCTTCCAAATGAAGACCAAGAAAAAGTCCAGCGCTTTCTAGCCAAAAGACTGGGAAGGAGGTAGCCTAGCAAGGCAAAAGATTTGAGAAAATAACTGGTATACATACTGTACTCCACAGCTAAATATAGAAAATATCAAGTCCTCCTCTAATCTCCACCAGCAAAGAATGAATAGGAAAGGAAAAACTATCATTACCCCTCCTGCTCAACTTTCCATGATAAATGTAAATGCTATTCAGAAATTATCAATTTTTATATGAATTAACTTGATAAACAATATAAAAATGCTATATCTCTGGCTTCATTTAGTCCCAAGTCTAAAAAAATACTTATCTGGAATAAATAATATTTTTATTTAAAAAACATACATGAAAGATTGAAATGAATTTAAAATATGATGAGTTCCAGTATTATAGGAAAGGCAAGACATATAGTTCTGTAATGGAAATAGAATAACATTTCAGAGCCCAAAACTCTGGAGACAAATTCCAAGTTTTTCACTTACTATCTAGGTAATCTTGGAGAAGTTACATATTCTTATTTTTAGAATTAAGACATTTATCTCATGTGGTTGCCGTGTCAAATGAGATAATGTATGTGAAAACACTTAGCAATAAACAGCAATGAATGAGTAATCCATAAGTAAAACCTTACTTCAAATAAGCAATTATTAGCTTTTGCTACAAATGTAAAGGACATTTATTTACATGCCAGTAACAAAGAGTGAATGCTACCTGCTAGACAAATGTTATGTCAAAAACAGACTCCTAGAATCTTCTCTGTACAGCAGGGCTTATTTACCTAAGATTCTGGACCATTTGCGACATAAGACACTAAGTACCTCAGCACCAGACCTCTACAGGTTTGTTAGCACCCTCTCGAAAATCCAGTGGGATAAAATCCAATGAGACTGAGAAAATTAGATGTGTTTATATGTTCATACACTATACTGTTGTGCTGGCTGAGATATTCATTAAAATCTCAGGGGCTTCATTTGTTCTCCTCGTCATTATTATACAGGTATTACAACTGGGATGATCTAATTTGTTTTGAAACTTGGCTTGGATAAACATGTTTAGCATGGGTGATACTTCATCATATGTGCCTTTCCGAGAAGCAACCAGACCCAGGTGCCTGGAACGACAGTCTGGAGCATTGTTTTGTGGTTTATATATAGCCAAATATTAGGGACCTGCAGGAAGAGCCATGATGCTTTTCTCTGTGTGAAAGTGACCCTCATGTTATTCAGTTTTGACACTTTCCACTGGTCATGTATATCTGCTTTCAACTCCTGAACACCTGAAATAGATAGTGATCCATTTACTGAAGATACAAGGGGTGATAAAACATATGGTGAATGATTAAATCTTTTTTTACTCATTGCAGTAAAAAAACACATTGAATCTCTCTGACAACCGATGATGTTGAAGATTTTTTCATGTGTTTACTGGCCATTTATACTTCTTCTGAAAAATGTTTACTCATTTCAGTTGTCCATCTTTTAATTGGGTCTTTTATTTCTGGGTGATCTAATTTTTTTTTCTTTATATACTTTAGATATTAGTCTTCTGAGGAGTAGCTGGCAAAATTTTTTTCCCATTCTGTAGGTAGTCTCTTCACTCTGTTGTTGTTTCCTTTGCTATGCAGAAGCTTTTCCATTTGTTATGATTCCATTTGTTAATACTCGATACTAAAGAAACTGTATTTATACATAGGGAGTAATATTCTGTCATAAAGAATAATAAGCTCGAGTCATTTGCAGGAAAATGGATGCACTTTGAGACTATAAGATTAAGTGAAATAAATCAGACACACAAGCTTAAATGTCGCATGGTTTCTTTTATATGAGAAGCCCAGAATATAAATAAAGAGCAAAACAAAAGATAGATAATAGAAAATAGGGAGATAGATTTTGTTCAAATAGGAAGGGACCACGAGATAGAGGCAAGGGGGAAGGAGATAAGAAAAGAACTAAGATGTGTTATGTGCATGTAACATCTTCACACGAGCAATGTAAACAATATTTGAGAGCACATTTCCTCACTTTTTGGATGATATCAAACTTGTTTACTTTTTCAGTGAACATCATTTATTGTGATATGATCTGATTTTGCTTTCTTTTTATTATTTTTGCTGTAGCATTTTTGTTGTGTCCTATTATTAATTGAATTAGTTGAAATGAATTAGTTTTCTTTGAACTACTTTTAATTTGATAGCATAGAATTTGTGCATCTTGTTTCTATTTCTCCAGTAGTTATAACTCTTAAGTTTTAACATTTTGTTTACATTTCCTACCAGTGTCTATAATTGATTTGTTCCTAAACTGAGTGAATTCTCCGTGAATCTAAGTATGTCTTTACCTCTCTGTATTTCTACTTTCACCATGCCCCAGCTTGCTTATTAAATCATCAAAAAATTTAACTACAAATTATTATTTCCAATCAACAATTATTTAAACTAATAATAAATTGCTTTGTTTTTTTCCCCTGTTTGCCCCTGTTTCTGGTGTGTCATGTGTTCCCTTACTCTCTCTCTTCAGCCAGAAAGGCCAGTGAATAGTGAGATTTCTGAATCCTTTCATGATATCCAAATATCTTTATTTTTCCTTCTACTCGAATCACATGCAGTTTGGGTAAAGAATTCCATATACAGTGTTATTCCCTACCTCAAAACTTGGAAGAGGAGCTTCTTTATCCCTCTGACTGGTGTTGCTATGAAAAATCTGGAGTCAGTATTTTTCTCTTTTGCATATAATTATTATTATTTATGGAAATATAGGACAAGTCTCTATAGTCCTTGTTTTTAAAATGTCATTATATAATTTTAGGAGTGATGCCTTCTTGTCATCTTCCTACTTGATACTTAGGGAGACATTTCTCTCCAAGGACTCTTGTCTTTCTGTGGCACTGAATCTACACAATGATGATCAAGGGCTGTTTAAAATCATATGTAGAAAAATATGAGGGACTTTATAGTGGATAAATTGCACTGGCAACATTTGAACTTACTGATTTTTAAATCATTGAAAGCAAAACCAGATATTATGTGCCTCATGAGGTAATGCAAGAAGTATACAATCCTACTATTAAATTTCTCACCAAAAACCTGGCAATAATCCGGTGAAGATTTTATATAGACCCATCTGTCATTTTACAGCCACACAGTGTTTACTGGAACTCTTTGAAGGCTACAGTTCCTCAATGATGTGGGTCCCAGGCCCATGTTATGAATTTCTGCACTTTTGAAATTAGCAACATGTAAAGTTTAGAGATGAGATAGTGAATTTGGGAGTCAGGAGAACCGTATTTCTAGGTAAGCTACTCTAGAAAGTGACTGAGCAGCTTCGAGTGCTTCAAGAGCACAGGTTGTCAAGGAAGACTGAGATTTTGATCATGGCTTAGACCGACTGATTGATTACATGCCTCTTAGAGCTGATGCTGCTCCCAAATTTTTGGCTTCAGGATTAATGTATTTGTGGAGAAAACCTCTGTTTATGGTTTGATTTTCCTTCTTTCCACAAGTGTTTCCTAAATATACAGCACTCCCAAATTTTAGGTTTTGAAAGATTTTGTTTCGTCTTTATATTACTTGCATGTGTTTTGTTTTTATACATTTATTTTCTTGTACGAAGGGAAAAGTTGCCACAAGAAAATTAGGGGATTCTGGCTTGATATTTGCTTTTTTGAGCAGGTAATTTATAAAACATTGAAAGAAAAATTTCATATTACTATGTGGTTACAGACCAAACTGACCACTCCATATTCATGTTTTGCACCATAACCACATGGCAAGAATTCAGCCAAGAAAAAGACTTGCAGATAATCATAGCCTTTTTCCTTGACAGCTATCAGATGTAGAAGTGAAGATTTGGTGTTTGCTTTCTACAAATTAAAAAAAAGAGAGAGAGAATGCAGATTCACAAATGCCACTCTGGACAGCTGTCTAAATGACTGTCTAGTAGCGTGATTCCCTGAGTGTTCTACCTAATTATCTTTCCTCTCCTCTCCTTTTCTAACACGCAGCAATAATAACTATGTAGTTATACTCAGAAATAAGAAAAAGAAAAATTTTAGTATATTGTAATGAATTGTTTGTAAACAGGGAAAGTCTACTTTTGCAAACAAGAGCAACATTGGTATTCAATCTCTTGTAGAAAGTGGTGACTTCTAAGAATTAAAAATCACTCCTTAGGAGTGTTTCTTGTAAGTTGAAACCATAGACACCAACCACTTTGCTAGACAGAAACACTCTGGGGGAAGCAACTAACCAATGCAGGTATAATAGGATACAAAACATTGCTCATTCAAGATTCTATTTCTTTGGTTGATTTTCCACATCTGCAAAAGATATTTTCAAAAAACTATTTTCAGAAACATCATGTGGACATGGTTGAATGCCTTAAGTTTTGGTTAATGAGTAAACTTGTTTTAAATTGGTCTGTTGCTGGTCTCCCAAGACTTTTTTTCTTTTTAGTCCCTCTAAATTTCCAGGGGAAGAATTTGACTTTCAAAATGTCTATGAAAATGAACAAGCTGATTTTAATACTAGGAATGATCTGTTTGGAACAAGGTAAATCTGCAATTCTTTCTCTCCCCAAAGGTAAGTTTCAAATGAACTCTGTAATACCTTGGTCTAAAGAAATAACTTTTGCTGACAATGGGCATCAGAAGTTCAATTCCATATTTCTTTGGTAAAATAGGAGAAATAAATATATTTTGGAGATCTAATTGTTTTCCAAGTAATTATTTTGGGCTTTGCTATGGCAATCAGTATATGAAATGAGGTGAAACATTTATGGAATGCAACTAAGCATTTTTTTCCACTTAGTTTTACCAAATGAACAGATTATTCACTTCTTTGGACACAACACAAATCCCATTTTCTTTAATGAAGCAAATTCTGGAAATCAGCATAGATTTGGAAACACTTGTTAGCTTTTGGAAAATTATCTTGCTGGAAAATATGAAATACCTTCACTGTAGTGTATTATAAATGGTCTTTTTTCCCTTGCCATAAACTGAAAACAGTTCTTGGCAGGGTTCTTCATGGTCAGACTTGTGCCAGCCCAGAGAAGCACGATGTTTTCCATCTTTGCTTCAGTGAGTTCAGGAGTAAATTTTGGGTTTAAAGTATTTATGAGTCATTCAGCAAGGCAGTTAGAAAATAAGCTTTTGATCCAGTGTCCTGCCTGTACTAGATTCAGGGTAAAAAAATTGTTATGTTCATGTTTTGCCATTATTTAGCGGTGCATTTCTTTAATTCTTAGTTTTGATATTTGTAACGTGAGGTATAACACTACTTGATTCATAGGCACAGTGTGAGGATCAAATAAGAAGTCCTATGAAAGAGCTTTGTATATTTTTAACATATTAATCTAAATAGCTAAGGATATGTTCTTGAGAAAAAGAATCTATTCATCGGTTCATCTTTTCCAAATGCCTACCTACTATATACTGGAAATCGTGCCCAACCTTAAAAATACAGAGAGGAATAATACATAGGCTCTTCCCCCACAAATAGATTATAGTTCAATGATAGATGATAACAATGCATGATGGAAGTACAGCATGACAAAATTATTAAAGGGGTAAAGAAAAAGTGCTGCACCCCACAATGGAGAGACCTTTTACCCAGTCTGAGAAAAACAAGGAAGATTTCTCAGATGAGGTGGTCAATGAGGATCAGAAGATTTCGCTAGGCAAAAATATAGTGATGATGAGGTAGGGCTTTCTCGACCCTCCTAAAAAAGCATGTGGAAAGGGAAGGCTTACAGCAAGAATATAAAATGTACCATCTCTGAATTATCTGGTGGACGTAAACAATTTTAGTTTATCTCTTAGCTGAGGAATAAAAAGAAAACCCTTTTAAGGCAAATAAGTAAGCAATATTTTCAAAGATAAAGTCTTTGCCAGAAAGAAGAATGAGTTCTTTCTTCCACTACCTTTTAAACTCCTATCCTAACAGTAGCATGTGAGTCAGGATACTGTCTTCCCTCCACTCTCCTTGAGCAACCTGCCATTTTTTACTCTTACAGAGAATTAAATCCAATAAGATTTGTAAACAACTGATTGTGTGGTAGGCATCCTAGAGCACAATCTTAGACTCATCTCCTGGGTGGAGCAGAGGAGAAGATATGCACACAATTGGATTCTAAGGCAGACTGTGGTGTCATCAACAAATAAAATGAGCATCTCTATGCATCAGGAACTGTGATAGATATTGTAAACATAAGTATTTGTAAGACTAAGTTCCTATCTTTAAGGAGCCCCCAAGTATTTGGGTTGAAAGACATAGATAAACCATGATGATAGGTGGTAAATGTCTTTTTTTTTT